ATAACCAAGAAAGCGCGACCGTTATTCATTAAAAAAAAAAACTATTATATTTTAAACAATACACAAGTTAACCAATACAAAATAAATTATATGATGACTTTGTCCTTAAAATGGAGAATTTTTCCATTTGCAAAGGAAATAATATCTTTGATTATCTTTATTTGGATCGAGATTCAAAATTGATAATCAAATGTATATTTGGACTCGAATATGAATGCATATCCAAGTATCAGACCTTCATAAACTTATTTTAAGATATTGGGATATATATATATATCTAAAATAGGATATGGATATAGGAACTCGTTGTGCGCACACACACACACATTTATATATATATATATATATGTATTACATATTATATAATATTCTCAAATAAGATGTTGTAAATCATATAAAAATGCACTAGAAATTAAATAAGATTTAGCAAAAATGTGAAATTTTTATCTCTCATTTATGTTAGAGGTTATAAAATTTTATTTTCTAGCAAATGTGAATTTCTTATTCTCAAACATTGTTAAAAGTTGGAGGATCCAAGTGTTTAAATTGGATACGGTTATCAGACACCCTTATTATCCGACGAGCATGATTATTTTGAGAAAATATAAGCGTGCAGGTAACATAGATCACAATGCAGAGGCAGAACAGCAGAGCAGGAAACAGCTCCAAAGACTAAAACCCCATACCAAGAAGAACCATGAAGCAAACCAGACAAGAACAGAAGAACAAAAGAAACCACAAAACAAAGGCACCGACCCAAGAAGGAAAAACTAAAAAAGCAGAGCAAAGACAACCCCCAAACCCCAAATAAGAAAAACAAAGCAGACCCAACAAAGCCAAAAGGAGGGACTCAAAACACACAAAAGACAACACAGAAGGGAAGCACAAGACACCCACCCAAATAGAAAAATAAGCAAACAACAACACAACGCATCAGACACACAAAAACCGAACAGAACCAGGACAAGCAGAAACAGGAACAAAAGGCACGTAGACTTCAACGAAAAGGAACAAAAGAGACTAAAAGAAGGAATAAATAAATAAATAAATAAAACAAACACTGAAAGAGAAGAAAATGAGCACAAAATTGACATTTAAATGTAGCAGATGCTGCCACTGTTATGTACCGGCCCGTTGCAGGCATTATGGAATGGCAATGGCAATGGCACTAAACCTATGAAATTGAATCACACAGCTATAGCAATCGTAATATGTACCAGTGACTGCCCATACGATTATATAATAGCATTACATAACAGTTGAGATACCACCTAACATTAGGCTCCATATGGTCCTAAAGGTCATTAGTAATGTAGCTCATGTTACATCTCCTTGAATGTACAATATTACTCACCTAAAAACTTCTCTTGTTGAAGGAGACTAATTACATTTTCATGTAAAATAATATATTCCAAAAACTTTCTTCTCCATATTAAAAATCTCACAAATTAACAGCATTCAAAATCACCATTAATAATACTGATAGAAACATTAACACTAGAACTAAGTTCTAACTGCTATTCCTCCAAACGTTCCATAACTACACATCATAACAAGAAAAATAATAGAATATTGTTGCTATGCTCATCCAGTTCCATATTAGCATCAGCATGAGGATCAAACAAGATCATAACTTCAAAAAGAAAGTTCCCTACCACCCAATGCTATCCTAAAGGCTTGTGCCCACAAAAGATAAGTTTTATTGTTTAGTTTATGATGGGGGCTAAATCCATATATAGCTACAATATATCACAAAGATTGTGGACTTTAACATGTTTCTAATTTGACTACCATCATTTTCATCCAACTTCATTGATGAAATGGTAGTTGACTTTACTGTTCTTAATCTTCAGTTTTACACTCTGTTTGTTTCGGTCGAAAACATTTTCTAATAGAAAACTTTTTCTACAAATAACTTTTTCCTGAGAATGTTTTCCTATATTTGGTTGCAACCTTGAAACTATTGTACTAGTAGTGGTGTGGTGGTGATGGTAGTGGTCTGTGCTGGCAATGGAGATGGTGGTAGTGTGGTGGTATAGGTAAGACTTTAGTTCGGAAAATATTTTCAATTTTTTAAAAGTAGAAGACATTTTTTGCCCAAATAAGCTTGTTCTCTATTGACCACATAACTTTTTCTGTTGACTTCCGCTTTCTGTCGTTCCAAACAATAGAAAAATATGGAAAATGTTTTTCAGAAAATATTTTCAACAGGGAGCGTTAATATGCAACATGATGAATACTCCCTTGAATTTGAGTGACCAAATTATGTGAAAAAAGAAAAAAGGATTAACTAGACTAGCCACATTCACTTTTCACATAACATTCAGCATATAAAATATCATCTTGAATAGCACGATCAGTGAAGAGAAGTGCTCTGTATTTCTAGGCACGTACATTATCATTTTCAAAAAAGAATTTCAAACTTTGGGAAAAATATCTCTGACAACCAAAGGGGAAAGCAACCCCAACCATTTGGGCAAAGAAGCACATGAGCCCAAGCCAATGCACACAAGCATGAGTTAGAAGTACAGATTAGCTTCTGCAAAATCCTCAGGTAGTGAGACAATCTGAGTGTTGTGATATTGAAGGTTTTAATAATGGTAAAACGAAGTCAAATATCACGGCAAGGTCAAGTGTGAAAATCCTAAAAGACCTTTATTTCAGAATTCTGGTTGGGAAGCAAGCCCCCTTAAACCCCAAACATAAAGTTGGATCAGCAACCTAGCGTGAAGTTGGATGGGCAATCAAGTAGTTAGTATCCTGTACTCATTAGGATCCACAATATCCAACATATAGTCTCTTTTGAAGGATTTAAAAGTGATGGAACTATGAGGATGTATTGGGATGATTAGGCTATTAATATATTGCAAACAGTTGAATGTGGCTATTAATATATTGCAAACAGTTGAATGTTTTGTTAGATAACAGAGGATACTAAATTTTATGGCTACCGTTTATAAGATTACTATTGAGGAACCTATGCCTTTCTACTTCACATGACAAAATTGTAGGGACAAGCCCGTCAAGTTGATTATGCTCTCTTGTTCTCTTCCTCTATTATTTCTCCATTCCTTTCATCCCCTCTTCCATTTTACTACACAATGTACCTTAGTTGCAGGAACCTCCTATTAAGGGTAACAAATCTGTTCCAAAACAGCAATTTCACAATTCAAAGCAAGAATCAAGTTTAAACCTCATTCCCATTAACAAAGAACTGTGTTCTCAACAGGGATGGAACCTCTCAAACATATGAATCCCCAGTAAACAAAAGAAAAAGCTACCAGGCAAAAGAAAATCTGTGGCAGCAATAAGATTATAGGGGGAAAAAAAAAAAACTCAAATTTATTCTAGTACTTCGTATTTACATAATATTTGTTTATAATTTACAAAATAAAATAAATTTGTAGTGGACAACAATCTTTGACTCTCCTATACTCTCCGATATTTATTCATATTTTAACATATATATTACAACTAAGAAAAAAAAATATAAAATATATAAATAAGCGTTTCAATAGACACTCCCAACCTTAGACTCTTCCATCATCTGTCCTTGCTCCCTGGCCCCAACCCTCACTTCCACTTTGAGCAACTAAGATTTCTACTATTTGCAGTTTGTTTGGATAAATGTGATAAATTAAAAGATCTTCAGCCAATGACTCTTAGGTTTATGAAGTTGTGTAGATATTGGATCATACTCAGAGGAACAGCCAAGGGAGGGACCAGATTTATCAATTATATTTTTGGTCACTAAATCATGCCATAGAAATGAGACTATAATTGTAAAATTATTTATTTTGCTTGGTACCTATATATCTATTTATATAGAAATATGAATTTTTTTTTTCTTTTTTTTTTTTGTTCCCCAAGCAAGATATACACAAACAGCATGAGCACACATAAAGAGATATATGCATTTGGACAGGTACCTACAGGCCAAGCACAGCAGATTTTACCCCAACTATAATCTCCTAATATTAATATTATATTAAACACTTAGATAAAGCAAAGGACTTCTGTTAAATAATTTTGATCTCAATACAAGAAAAAAAAAAAAAAAGGAGTATCACCTTAATTACCCTTTAAATCCACACACATGCGCGCGCGCGCACACACACACACACACACACACACACACACACACAAAAAAGAAGAAAAAGGGTGAACGAATCGCTTATCTTTCTATAAAATGCCTACTTTTGTTATTATGTTAATAGAATTGATATTTACATAAATATGTCTTTGGAGTTTTCATCTTCGCTTTTCTACATAACCCCGATGGGAGGGCAGCAAGAGACGAGGTTAAGAGACTTCCACCTATAAAATTATGACAGTAGACGCATTCATCAAGCTAAATATTTTAAATTGCTAACGCTTCTTTATGAACTGGGATATTAAACTTTCAAATTTGGAACTTCCTAGAATCTAGGGTGAATTACACTAACGGTCCCTATAGTTTAAGGCTTGTGTCATTTTGGTCCCTGACTTTTCAATTGTAACACATTTGACCATGAATTTTGAATTTTGTTCCAAATAAGGACAATTGAATATACTATTGGATTTTTCAAGGGTAAAATCGTCAATTTGATAAAATATAAATTATTTTGACAAAAATAAATGTTAAAAAATTATTTTTGAATTTTTAAAAATTATTTCTACCTATTAAAGATAAAATTATATAAAATTGATAAATCTTTTAGACATTTATTTCTTTTTTTTACCAAATTAATTTTTATTATGTATTTTGATGATGATTATGTAAGATTAATTTTTAAAAATTAATCATGTAATTTTTATTAATTTTTATCAATTTTACATAATTTTATTTTTGGTAGGTAGAAATAATTTTTAAAAATTTTTAAAATTTTTTTTGATATTTATTTTTGTCAAATTAGTTTATATTTTATCAAATTGACGATTTTGCCCTTGAAGTTAAGCAATGGTATGTTAATTGTCCTTATTTGGAATAAGATTCAAAATTCAGGGTCAAATGTGTCACAATTTAAAAGTCAAGGACTAAAGCGACACAAGCCGTAAACTATAAGGACTGATAGTGTAATTTATCCTAGAATCTATTACAATACACTGCTGCATTTCTATGGTGAGATCCAGCATCTCTGGCAGGAAGATTGCATAAGACACAGTTTACAAACACTCAAGAATCAGAGTACCATGACAAAGAAAACAACGTATCCAGAGACTGATGATATTACAATAATATTATGATATGCTCAAGAAATTGTAACTTTTCTGAAAGAATGCCGCAAAATATATTTAACAATTAAATGAGAAAATTTAACAATACTAAATCAAATTTCAATAATTAAACAAGAACATAAATTTTCGTACAACACTTTATCATACAAGTGTGAAAGTGAAAAGCATAGGCTAAGTTAAACAGTTTAGATTTGATATTGAAACAAAAATTTATACAAACATATCCTGCCATTACCCAAATATTATTTTGCAAGGTTTTATCGTACGTATCATTGTATTTGTTTTCCATATTCGTTCGTATTCATGCTTCATAGTCCAAAGATCAATAAATCAAGAAATTAATTAAAAATAACATCACCAAATTAAGCATTTCAAAATTTACTAGCATATGGTAGCAATAACACATAATGAGCCACTCTTGTTCAACTGTGGTTCAACATCTATATGAATATGATTTTTATTTTATTTTTTAAGTTGGCATATAAAGATGAGGCATATATGGGAAAAAACTTATTTTGGAAACCAATTAGCAAGAATGAGCAATGGTTTAGTGGTAAATACCAAATAGTGTTTTATCCCATACAAAGTGTCTAGGTTCGGGTCTTAATAGGCTTGAAGTTGATTGATTTTTAAATAATAAATGGTTCACCTACAAGTTACTCTGGTTTTTATAAAAATCAACCGGTTCAAGCAGTTTGCACTGCTTCAATCCGGTTCAATGGAAAAAACGATCCAATTAAAGAGCAAGACTGGATCACCATCCATTTCCTGCCTCAACTGACAAGTTTGGTCAACTTCTGATTAGTATGACGTGAAAACTATGAATTTTCTCACCAAGTTGCAGCACATCTATAGCTTGTGTACTTGAACATTCTTTGTACATTTCTATAAACCATCTTCTTTTCTTGATGTATTTGGATCTAATAGCATATATCATTCTTTCTTGCAAAAATTATATTGAAGTGATTAGAAAAAGGTATTCATAGCTAATTTTTTGGAAATGCTATAGATTGAGGTTTATAGGGCTTAACATCACATGCTGCTGAAGTGTCCATGATAAGCGTACCTCATTTAATGATTCCAAAGCTTGTAATGCTAGTTGTGGAACCCTCAGGCGCTGATACAAGACTTCTGCCCTCTTTCTAAACAAATTAATAGCCCAATTGAATTGCTATTGGTTTCATTAACTCAAGTTCCTCAAATTTTGTATGACAATCACTACAATTTCCTTAAGTTCAAATATTCAATCCCACTGAGAATGGAAGACATAGGTCCTTTTATCAGGCAACAGGTTCGTGTCCATCTTCATTTCCAAGATCTGAGATACTAGGAATGATAGGAATGCTTCCCTCTGCAATAAGACTCTTAATGTCTGATGCAGTTCTGGCATCTCTAGATAGTTTAAATATAGCTTCTTTTATAGCTATGTAGTTCTTATCACTCAAGTCTGGAAGAATTCCTCTGTGGACCACCTTTTTTAATACGTCAAAAGCCAAGAGTGGGTTCGAGTTAGATAGGAAAGCATCTATTAAAGCAACATAGAGAAATGTATCAGGTTTCATCCCATTCTCTTCCATTTCCTGGAAATAGCCTAGAGCATCATCAGGTCTCAGACACTTGCAAAGCCCATGAACGAGAGCTGTAAAAGAAGTTCTGTTGGGAGAAGACCCCTTTCCCTTCATTTCATTCCAAAGATCAAGAGCATCATTTGGTTTTCCAGCATTGCATAGTCCATCAATTAAAGTTGTGTAAGTAATGACATTGGGCTCCCATTCTTTTTTTCCAGCCATCGTGGACAGACAAAGCAGGGCTCGATCAATATCACCACTTTTACACCATCCATGAATGAGTGAGTTGTAGGTAACAACTGAGGGAACAAGCCCCTTCTCCAGCATCTCATTCAGAACATCCTCGGCTTCCGATACTCTTTTGGCCTTACACAGCCCATTTATTATAATGTTATATGCAACCACGTCAGCACAATACCCACGAGCAAGAATGTCTCTGAATAGCTGCAAAGCATGGTCCACTTCTTGGATCTTGACAAAGCCATCGATAGCCGCAGAATAGGGAATTATATCAAGCAGAAAACCTTCTTGAATCATGCTACCAAGAAAATTAGAAGCTTCAGAGACCCTACCATGTTTGCACAACTTTTTTATGAGCAATGTAGTATGTTTTATCCATGGCTCATGCCCATTAATACGCATCTCCCTCACCATGTCAATAGCTCCAGTGATATCTTCTCTTCTACATAAGCACCCAAAGATGGAATTGTATGTAAAATGTGTTGGTTGAAATCCCAATTCTTTCATCTCTCTCAGAAGTTTGTAACATTCCTCCACTCTATTTGAATTGCTCAAACTATCAATTAAATTATTATAAAGCAGTGTACTCCGTTTACAATTCATTCGATCCATCTCTCGAAAAAGGCCTAGGGCCATATCCAAGTTATCAGAACAGCACAAGCTGTTAATTACTACTTCAAAAGAATTGGAATCTGGGTGAACAAGTTTTTTAATCCTGGAGAGCTTGTCCACCTCAACATCACCATTAGATTCATCCCCCATCATTGACCGTAGCAGATAGTAAGCTTTATGGGCTGAACCTTTGTTAGCAAGGAAATTAAGAACAGAATTATACAGCAGGATCATATCTTCTTCACTACCCAGCTCTTCGGGACCTTCCTCAAGTAACTTTATCATTTCACTTTCCCCGGGCAATTGTGATATAAGCTTCGTGAGTATTCTAACATCAGGATAAATTCCCAACTCTTTCATTTCCGAATATAAGTACAAAGCTTTTTCAAGCTCTTTATTCTTGCAGAGCCCTTCTATTAGAACGTCGTACAAAGAAATGTTGGGAGCAAGACCCATTTTCTTCATTTTATCAAACAGCTGGAGGGCCTTATCCACTCTAGACTCTCTCACAAACCCATGTATCAAATTGCAAATTGTCGTCTCATTTAAGTTAATATTCAGATATTCCATCCTGTCAATCAGCTCAAAAGCCTTATCTACTTCGCCCCACTTGGTAAACGAAAGCACCAAGATAGCCAAAACGTGAGAATCCACCCAACCCCGCTCATTTATACTTTTGAAAACATCCAAAGCTTTTTCAAACATCCCTGCCTTGCAATAACACTGCAAGAGTGGAGTCAACGTGTACTTATCAGGTTCCCAACCAGAACCGTGCATCTCTTTCAACCTTTTCTCAATTAAATCAACCGAACTAGACTTAGAGATGGCCTCCAACAGACAGTTATAGCTATAACTATTCGGAACACAAAGACCCATCTTTTTTACTTGATCAAATACCAAATTGGCTTCTTCAACCAATCCCTGACCACCCAAACACCTAATAAAGAACCCCAAACCACCCGGTGTCATCCAACACCGAGAATCCACCAATTCCACGGCCAGAACCCTCAGTGGAGCATTTTGACAAGCACGTGATAGGATCGAAGCCATGGCATTGTAAGTATAACAATTGTGCCTATACCCAGATTGATTTGAAGCCCAATTAAAGAACAAGTGAGCTATTTTCCAGCTCTTGAGAGATTTTAACACGGTTTCAACAATGGAAGTATTGATTTTCGAACCAAATTCCCTCATTTCAAGGCTGTCTGGGTAAAAGGGTCCCTTGGTGAAGATGGAAATGAGTCCATCAACGATTCTAGAATGATCTGAAGGAAGGAGAGAGTGATTGGTGTTTCGGGTCTTCGTACAAAAGGATCTTGAGGTTACTGAGCTATGTCTGTGCACACAAGATAAGAGTTGGATCAGATTGTATGGGTTGATTGGCATGATTGATTTGAGACGAAGATGCATATTCATGACAACTGTGTAAAGCCTTTTGATGAATTGACTCTGCTATGGAGGGTTCGTTGTTCAATCGAGAATTTGTGTGTGAGCCACATGACCGTTGCGCATGCCACTTTTTGAAAAATGAAATGGGAGCATGGATGGAGATTGGGTCTCATATAAAATGAAGGAATTGCTCACAATGGGGTCGTGGTTACGTTTTTTATTTTTTATTTTTTTTTGTTTTTCTTTCTTTCTAATAATAGGTGTCTGAATCAGTTTGCATATTTTAATTCAGCCGTGATCCATACACCCAGTGGGGGTCGCGCCCCCAGTGACGTGGCGCGCCCCCACTGGCTGAAAATTTTTTTAAAAAAAAAAAAAACTATTTTTTTTTGGAACCAATCCGGGGCCGATACCTCACTGGGGTCGACCCCTGGGGTTATGAAGCTTTTTTCATTTTAATTAATTTCAGAATTTATGCAAAGCGCTTGTCTACGACACGGACAATTTTCCAAAAAAACTTCCTTTACGTCGATGGAACAAATATCAAGTAATGGTTAACGTTGATAATATATTTGTAAAAAAAAATAAAATTATTAAAATAAAAATATGTGATAATATATGAAATGTATTACATTATTTGATAATATATGAAATGTATTACATTATTTGATTTTTAATTGTTAGCCAAACACTAAGATCGTGTTTTTTTGGACAGAAATGAATATAAGATTAGATTAATAATCAAACAAAAATATATAATTTGATATTTAATTAAGAAAATCGAGGTCCAAACTAGTCCACTATGTTAAAAAAAATAATAAATTATAAATATATCCTCTAAGATTTGATTAAGTTCTGAATCGCTCCTGTGATTCTGGAAATTACATTTCACTCTCTGAAGTTTCTGATTTCATAACAAATCACACATTTTATTAGTAAATCATCAAGTCAATTAACAGTTTTTAATAATGTTAGAAATATGTTTCAATTAATAATTTAAGTAATTTTATTTTTGTATAAAAGAGCAATTATAAATTTTATTTTTTTACTTAATTCTATTAAATAAAATATTATAACAAGGAGGTATTTGTAATTTTTCAAATCACATAAGACAATTTGTACTTTAAGTAAATTTGTAATTTACCCTAGAAAAAAAAAGGACTAATAGTCTATTTAGACATAGTAATCATCGTAAAGGATTATTGAATCTCAAGTGAGCGTGAGATACAAAATGAAAGACTAAGCAAGGGTTTGGACTATTAATCCCACCTTCTAATCCTGAGTCAATCTAAATATGAAACATGATACACGATTTAAAGGGAATGATAATCTTAAAATTATTATTTCTAAAAATGCTAATTATATCTAATTCAGTCTATCCAAAAAAACTCAACGTAAAATATGAAATGAAAGCTTTGCCAACCGAGTTATTGATTTGTGCCTTTTGAAATTTCAAAAACATAATTGTTGTAGTTTTAGTAAGATTTCACATTGGTTTAGGGGACGAGGTAGATCTAGATTAACGTTGGTTAGCGTTCTAAATAGAGATATGGATCTACTTAATTTGATTAACGAAATGCCCTTTGATAAGGCTACGTGGAGAAGAAGGATTCATGTAGCTAATCCCATTTGATGAGACTTAAGGCTTGGTTTGGTTTAGTTTGGATTGGTTTAGAAATATGTTTTAATTAATAATTTAAGTAATTTTATTATTGTATAAAAGAGCAATTATAAATTTTATTTTTTTAATTAATTCTATTAAATAAAATATTATAACAAAGGGGTATTTGTAATTTTCCAAATCACATAAGGCAATTTATACTTTAAGTAAATTTCAAGGAGTGCATTTGTAATTTACCCTAGAAAAAAAAGGACTAATAGTCTATTTAGACATAGTAATCATCGTGAAGGATTATTGAATCTCAAGTGAGTGTAAGAAACAAAATGAAAGACTAAGCAAGGGTTTGGACTATTAATCTCACCTTCTAATCCTGAGTCAATCTAAATATGAAACATGATACACAATTTAAAGGGAATGATAATCTTAAAATTATTATTTCTAAAAATACTAATTATATCTAATTCAGTCTATCCAAAAAAACTCAACGTAAAATATGAAATGGAAGCTTTGCCAACCGAGTTATTGATTTGTGCCTTTTGAAATTTCAAAAACATAATTGTTGTAGTTTTAGTAAGATTTCACATTGGTTCTCTTTATTTTAATTTCATCAATATTAATTTCACAATTCTATTTACGTTTCAATATAATTTCTATGCCATTATTCATTAATATTTCATATGGACAATTGACACCTATTACTCATGTAGAAATTTAACAATTCTTGCTTATTAAAAAAAATGAATAAATTATACTGATGTTCCCTATAATTTTATCCAAATTTCATTCTAATCTTAGTTTCACATGAAAATAAAAGTAGAAGAATAAAATTGATAAAATTAAAACTATGAGTAACAAAGTGAAATCTTCTTAAAACTATAAAATTAATGTTATATCTTACCTTGAAATAAAATAAGTAGAATCAGTGTCCCTTCTTGGGGGCTGCTTTAGCCAATTTATGTGTTGGCTCTACTCACTGTCTATTCACTTCAGATATTACAAACGACATTAGCAAAACTATTACAAAAATATATGATATCACTGTTTGAACACTACATTCTCCTTCGGCAGTATTCTTTAATTGCAGCATTTTAAGGCTTCGAAACATGGTTTCTTCTCTGTGATTAAGGCCAAAACAGAGTAGCAGAAAATACCCTCTTGAACAATCATGAATCATCATCATCATCCCTATCATCCCTTTGATTGTCCAACACTGCCCAGGCTAAACCAGCATTCAAACTGTCTGAGTTCCAAGCTCCATTCCAACATGCAGCATGGAAAGTTGGAAAATAGCACTGTGGTAAAATGTTGCAAAACAGCGTGATCAACAGTATTAGTCACATAATCATCCTGCAATTTCCTAACCTCCTTAGCCAACACAAACTGGGAATGAATCTCCAAAGCAAAGAGGTCAAGGGTTGTCGTCTTTGGAAGGAGGAAAAGGATCAAAGGATGGGCAAGCAGGCTGTTTTTGGCTTTGGAGGGACTAAAGTTGAGCTTTCAAGCTTTTTAACTCAACTTCTTTCTGAGAGAAAGTGGTTAGTCATTTCTCTCCTTTTCTGTGTAGAATCTTCCTTACAGTTTGATATCAACTTTTAACTGTATAAATCACGGTTTCTAGTAAAACGCCAAATAATCCTGGGTCAAAACATTACCCACAATTTTGGGTCAATCCAGCCTGTTCTAACATCAGATAGGGGAAAAGTCACCCCAACATCATACGCAAAAGGCCGTTTTCTGGTTTTGGAGGGATTGCATTTGAGCCATTAAGCTTTTTGACTCGGCTTCATTCTGGGAGAAGGTGGTTGTGAAGGTTGATGCAGAATATGTCATCTGTAGAAGTTCATTATGTACAAGCATGATCTTCTGTTGGAGATCAGTCACTAGCAGTTTTAATGAAGAGACCCATAAATCCTACCAAAAATCTAGGCAAGAACACCCACCATCTCTGAAGTGGTGAAACCGGTTCCTGTCCCTCACGATTATTTCCCGACCATAAATCCTTGAAATCAGCTTTATAACATAATGACAGTCTCTGCAAACTCTAAGGTTTTTCACAATTCTAATGGCTTCCTCTGGACCCAAGTGAATAAACCCGTAAGCAATAGCAAGCTTTTCACTGTGAACAGACAATGTGTTCTCCTTCTCTTCTTCTTCTATATCAAGCAAAACTTGTTCTGTATCCGGTGAATAGCCGCTTGTAGTCTTTAGCCGTGTTGATATCTCCCACAACTTCTCATAAATATTATTTGACTCTGGGTGGGACCAATCACCAGCAACAAATCGGTGAATAATCCCCTTTAGTTCTATCACACTTACCCCTGGCACCTTAGAAACACCTTTAGCTTTCATTAGATTTCTCACTTTTCTTGCATCATCCCATCGCTTTGCAGCAGCATATATATTCGAGAGAAGGATATAACTGTATAAGAAATAAATGATTACATAAAATTTTCTAATGAATAGTCTACCTACCCCTTGTTGGTAAAGTAAATGATAGTAAAATTTTCAAGCTTAACCACATGGTTTTGCATGCATTCAATGAGATATTAAATCAATGTGATAAAAATTTTAAAACATCTTTAAATAATTCAAAACCCTTAAAGATGTAAGCCCTCTAACCTGTTTGATTGCTTCACATTAGGGCACTAACAACAATCAGTAAGTGATAGCTACGAATCTGTCTAATCAAAAAAGTAAGTACATTGGGTTGTTTGACTTCATAAAATTGAATGGGTCAATGAAAACGTAGGAAATGGTTGGAAAGAGAGATATCGAATCTAAAAGGGAAGAATGGAAGTTTGTCAAATGTACAGGTCAAGATGTATGTGATCATCTCAATTTAGAATTGACAATCTTCAATACAAAGCACATACCAAACTGAACTAACCCTTATGTTCCAAACAAAAATTCATTCCCTATTCAAGATCAGAAAACTGATACCAAAATCAAGAGGATGGTAGTGAGTGTTGCAAAAGATCTAAACTCATGCCATTCTTAGTTCAAAAATGCTGGAGAGGTCACTCAGTAGTTTAACTTTTAATATAATCCAAGTATAAAAGAGAGTTGTTTTAGTATGGTATAACAAACAAATATTGTACTAAGCATAAAATAAGAGTTGATACCGTCCACTATGTTGCGGTTGAAGATTGATCAAGTGTTTCCCCACTGTTTCACCCACCTGAGCATTCCCATAAATCCTGCATCCTCCGAGCAATGCTCCCCAAGCACTAGCATTGGGCTCCACAGGCATTGTCCCAATGAGCTCCATGGCTTCCTCCAATTGTCCAGCCCGAGCAAGAAGGTCAATGACACAACCATAATGCTCCACCCTGGGTGCAATCCCATAAGAGCTCCTCATGCAATCTAATATTCTCCGACCTTCCTCTGTCATCCCAGCATGACGACAAGCACTAAGCACAGCTACAAAAGTTATATCATTTGGTGCCACACCATCATTTTGCATCTTGTCAAAAAGTTGTAGGGCGACTTTGGCGTTACCGTGCATAGCCATGCCGGTTATAATGGTGTTCCAAGCAAGAACATCTTTGAATTCAATTGAATAAAAAACTTCACAAGCACGAAAAATACTACCACATTTAGCATACATGTCTACCAAGGCAGTACCAACTATGGAATTGATTTCGATTTTGTAATAATTGATGAAAGAATGCAAATGCGACCCATGATCCAAAGCACCCAAATGACCACATGCCGATAGTAGGCTGACCATTGTGGCTTCAGTTGGCTTTACGGCCAACGCTTGCATTTCATCAAATAAAGCAAGAGCTTCGTTCGACTTCCCGCTATGTGCATAACACGCTAACATGGCATTCCAAGACACAACATCTCTATAAGGCATTTTAGAGAACAGATCAAAAGCATCTTCCACATTCCCACATTTAACATAACCCGCCAACATTGAGTTCCAAGACACCACATTCCTCTTGGGCATATCATCAAACAGTCTCTTTGCATCTTCTATTCTCCCAAGAATCCCATAACCATTGATCATAGTGTTCCAAGAAATCACATCTCGAACCGCCATCCGATCAAATACTGCTTGTGCAAGCTCCATCTCACCAGATTTTACATACCCATCAATCATTGCATTCCAAGAAACTAGGTCCAATTCGGAGCACATATCAAACAACTTTTTTGCAGCAGTCAAATCTTTCCCACTTGCATACAAATGAATCAATGAACTTTGAATGTAAGAATCGGATTCTAATCCACTTTTCACAACATGGGTATGGACTAGAATTCCATATTTGATCATTGACGACTCAGTGCAAGCTTTGATCACAAATGGGTAAGTGAAATTATTGGGTTTCAAGCCACTATAGAGCATTTTCTGGTACAATAAAAGCGATTGAAGAGGGTGTTTGGTTGAAGAGAAACCTCTAATGAGAGAATTGTAGAGTTCAACAGATGGGTTTTGCTGCTGAGCAAAGATTGTTTTGGCATAGTCTAAGTTTCCATGGGGTGAAACAGCACAAAATGACACCAATTTTGAGACTTCAAGTGGAGTCTCAAAGTTGTCTTCTTTGATGATCTGAGCATGGATTTGTTTGAGGACTCTCATGTTCTTGCATTTATCTAAAAGGTATCTTATATGATTATGAGGCTTTGAAGATAAATTGATGATGGTGTTTGGGTTCTTGAGAGCCATCATAGCTGTGCATTTATTCATCAGGTTTATAATTATTTATATCATGGTACATATTGACACTTCAAAATTTTTTTTCAATTATGAAAATGTATCACTTTCACCCTTTGAGATCACTTCTTTTAAAAGAGATGTCATTGTATGAATTTTATAATTGAAAGGTCAATGAACCAATAGCAATTCATCACCCAAAATCTTTGATTTGGTTTTCAGAAATTTTTTGAAGTTAAAAATTAATTTGTTAAATTTTTTTTTTAAAAAAAAATCATAATTTTCTAATGATTTTATCTTTTTTGGAAGTGAAAATAAATTTTAAAAGTTTGTAACTAGCTTTTTAGTATTTGTTTATGTCAAAATAATTTCTATTTTTTAAATAAAAATAAAAATAAAAACATAATGTAAAAATGAAACCAAGCATAATAGTGCAAATTTATAGTGGCAAATTCTAAAATATATGATGAAATATATGAATTCGTTTATTAAAATCCTAAAATCTCATCAATTTAATTTATAATTACAAAAATGTTATTATCATATCATTTTCTATAATTATTTCATGTTATTATAGATTATTTATTATGATGATTGTTGCACTTGGTGATTGTTAGGGTTGTAACTATGCATTCTTGGATTATAATTTTTCAATTTAATATAATTAATCGCCTACCTATGAAAAAAAAAAATGAGAAAATTAGTCTAGGGTCCCTCTCCCACTTCTCGTAATGGAAGAGATCCACAAAATTATTTTTTGATATCTAAGGTCCCTAAACATATATCAGAGAAATTTGACTCTTTATCTCTCCTCCTCTACTGCAGAGCAGCACTTCCTCTCTCTTTCTCTCTGAAACCCTAGAGAGAAGAAATGGGCAAAGTCGATCGAAACCAGACACTCCAAGATCCAACTCTCTCCTCTCTCTTCGCGCACCAAAAACCCTTCTCTCATTCTCACCAAAAAATGGCGTCTAAAACCCTAGTTCGGACCGAAACTTCTCTGATGAACCGATTATTGAATCCATCGCTTCAACAACAGTAGAAGAACACAAGCTCCGATTGTTGAATCCATTGCTTCAGCAATAGTAGAAGAACACAAGCTCAAACCATCTGATTGCATCAATGATTTTCTCCCTTTCTTTATCTCGATCTGCCGGTGCAGTGTCCTCACCTTAAGAAGTGGTGTCCTTACCTTAAGGAGGAATGCAAGAATGGCGGGATCGAATTAGGTTCACAACCTATTTCTCCGATTCTTCTTTCCTAACAGTACTATCTCTCTATATATATATTTTTTATTTTGGTGGATTGTTTGTCTATATTACAAATTACAATGTCAAAGATTCAAATTGTATTGTTAAAACAAGCGAAAAAGAGTGTAATTTGACATTTGTGAGCTCTATAGTTGTAGAATCTGATTATTTCTTGGCATGAATGCAGTGATCAATGTTACTGAAGCATTAGCTACGGGGATTTTTAATTTCTACCTTGTAAAATTTGTGAATTGAAATTTTCTATCTTGGGATATTTCTCTGGAGAGTGGGAAGTATATGTAAGGCAGAGAAATTTGAAATTTCTCTGGAGAGTCCATGAAAGGCTAAGGAGGCCAGAGAAATTTAAAATTTCTCTGAAGGGGTAATTTTGTGAGAAGGCTGGTGAAGTCAAAAAAAATTCAAATTTCTCTGGAGTGTTAAGTCCATAAGAGACAGAGATGGCAGAGAAAATTCTCTATCAAAAGCTTCTTTTCTTTTTTTTTGTTTTTTTGTTTTTTTCATTCATTCGCCAAATCTCAATTGCATCCATAAACACCCTTACATTGGATGTGAGTTTACTTATGATTGTTTATTTTCCCTTCCTTTCTCAAATCAGAGAATTTTAAAAGTAACTGTGAGAATTTCCCAAACTACAAGTTTCTCATTGAAATTTCATACAATTGTAAGAGATGCTCTCAAAGAACCAGAACCAACAACAACGCTACATATATAAATCAGATAATTAATTACAAATTTCTCTGGAGATGCAATTTTGTGAAAATTCAGAGAGATTTCTCTGGAAGAGTGGGAAGTATATGGAAGGCAGAGAAATTTGGAGAAGGAGAGGGCAGAGAAATTTACAGTAGGAAGTTTAGAGAAGGTCAAAATTTCTCTGGAAAGTCCAGAATTTCTCTGGACCAATTTTCTCTGTGACGTGAATTTTCTCTGAACTAATTTTCTCCAGACCAATTTTCTCTGAATCAACTTGAGGGACCTTAGATATTATGAAAATATTAGATGTCCTTTATGCTGTAAAATCTTAATACGAGGGACCTTAAAAAAAAACCCCAAAAAAATTCATTTTCTATAAATATTTTGAATAAAAATCTTATCAAGTTGGATTGGACTAGTTCAATTTAGCATTTTGGACCACAATGGGATTGACGATCTAAGTAATAATGTAAAATTAAAATAACCAAATAATTCTAATCACATTATTTCATCACATTTGCTTTTAAAAGTAAATAATAAATATAATTTTAAAAACATATCATTATGTTAGTAAAATTTTTGTTAAGCCTCAATTGACAGAGTGTTAACATAAATTTCACTAAACAATTAATCAACAATCCAATGATTGCCAAGAAAAATAAAAAGAGGGAGAAGAAATATGTGATCGAATTGAAAGCAACAACGACGAAAGAAAATTGTAATGCCTTGATGAGTACAAGATAATTACAATTCTAGAGAAGCAAATTAACTTTACAACTATTCCTCCTCCTAAAATTAAAGTTGCTATCACAACTATAATTCACAACTGAGAGGGTAATTTTTGGTAAAAATTGGACCGAGCTGTGAGATGGACTTTGTGGCCCAAAATACGAAGGACTGTGTAAAAAGGCCGTAATATTACTCCGGCCCAAGAAAGGTAAAGTTACTCTGGCCCAAGAGATAAAGTTACTTCGGTCCAAGATGATGTAAAGTTACTCCGGTCCGGAGGCAACTTGGAGTTAGGCCGGTCTCAGAGTTAGTCCGGTCACGACGTAGTATGGTTAGAACGGTCAAAACCTTGCTACTTGGTAGTTTGGTCTAAACACACCATGGTTGAACAAGAGAGAACCGAGATAATAAGGAGTGGATGGAGAAGACCGAGCTAAGGATAGTTCGGCCTACCCTGTGGCTCGACATAGCCAGTATTATTTCGGTCATGTGGTAGTTCGGCCATAGTAAAAACCATCCCACTTGGTTTAAGCAGTGGAGGGTGTAAAAGGATAAGCATTTATCCTTTAGGAGTATGAATCCTAGGAGGACTCTACATGGAGAAATAAAAGTCCTATTAGGATTGGGCCACTCGAAACCTATAAAAACTCACAAGCATCACCTTGGAAGGAGGTAACATAACACAATATACAATTTTGCTTCCTGAATACGTTGAGCTTTGTCTATTTGTCAAGTTTTCTGACTTAGGCATCGGAGAGGTTTCCGGCACACACCCGCCGGCTAGCTCACGTTTGTATTTTCAGGTGACAAAGCGACGTCGTACGGAGGAGCGTGAACTTAGTCAACAGGATTATACGAGAAAAATTATTTCTTCCCCGTACAACAACTACTTGAAAACTACTCCTAAATCCTAATGATAAAAGATGTCTTGATATTTGGTGATGATCCATTTGTCTCCTCCTTCAGCCTATTTATAGACTTAGATGCAGACGGTTTCGATTGAAGGCAGTTTCTTCAAGACCCACATTCCGTTGGGAAGTTCACATTGCCACTCATATGCCTCACGTTGCCATTTCCCCTTCTAATGTCATGACCCATTAGGTGCTTTGAGTCATACTTACCAATAATAATAATAATAATAATAATAATGTGGTCATAGTTATTTTTAAAAAGATAATTTATGATTTGAATCAAGAGCAAGTTACAATCAATAAGATTAGATTTGCCCATGATCGATAGAAAAATATTTTATGATGCAAAAACATTCATTTTTAAAAATAAATATGACAAAATCATGTGGAATTTACTTTTTAACTGACTTTTTTGTTAATTTGTTTTTTAAAAAATTACTGACGGAGTCTCCTTCTTGAGCCGGAGCCTGAAGAGCCTGGGCCGGTCCGACCCATCCACCCGGGAACCGATACCTCATCAATATATATTCTTATGCACTAGATGGACTGAAAAAGTATAAATTTTTAGAACGTTTAAAAAAAAAAATCACTTAACTTAAAAAAAATTCAAAAAAAATATGATTATTTTAATTAAATGTCCAACGATGGCTAAGGTTATCCACATTAGTTTTTTTTAATTTCAACATTAGTTTTTTTTTTTTTTTAGAATAATATATACACATGAGATAAAGAAGAAGAACGATAATTATTCTTGTTCTGGGCCAAAAATGCTTGTCATAAAAACTAGAGACAAACTGATTCATAATTTTATCTAAACAAACAAAGGGAAATATCAAATTAGCGTACTTTTACAAAAAAATATTTATAAATTAATGAAAATTTTATACATATTAATAATTAAAATTATAAATTTTTTTATGATTGTGTAGTTTTTTTTTTCTCTGACACCATTGTGATTATACCAAAAAAACAATCACTCTGTTTGGTTTTGATTTCTAAAATTTACTTTTCAAAGAATTCTATTTTTTTTTTATTTTCTGTATTTTTTGTTTTTACTGATTTTTTTTTGTTGATATTTTAAGCATTTTTTTTTAAAAATTTTTAAACACACCTAACACACATATACTTACAAAAGTATAATATTTGTGAAAAAAACCTTCAAAAAAATCGCTAAATACAAAAAATCAGTATATTTTTTGTATTCTTATATATTTATTAATTTTTTAAAATATTTTTTTTCACAAATATTTTACTTTTTAGATACATCTAAATAAGGTATATCTAAAAAAGTAAAAAAATTGGTTAAAATTTTAAAAATATTCACTAAAAACAAAAAATACAAAAAATAAAAAACTCAATTTCTAAAAAATTAAATTCAAAAAATATTAAAACCGAACACACTGAATATTATCTTGTAATAACCTAACTCAACTGTCAATCGTAGAACAGAGATATGGTCAAACAATTTATACAGCAAGCCCGCGTCATATGCTTACAGTAACAACATGTATCTCCATCTTTCATGGATAACAATTCTTTAATCTCACGGAAAATTATGTCACTTCCTTTCTATTTTTAACCTTCATCACCAACACATTACACGAATTTATCGGATCTAACACCTATATATAAAGCATCCATTCACACACATATTCACTCAAGGAAGAAGAGCAACAACAAAAAAAAAAGAGTTTCTTACTAAGAGACCTTTTGTTTCTTTGTATGTATGTATATTAACTAAGAAGAAAGAAAAGAAAAGAAAAGAAAAGAAAAGAAAATTTTGGGTTTGGTGGAAATATGGCAGGGGGAGGAGTGGTGAGTCATGGAGGTTCAGGGGAGTATGAAGGTCGGGTCACCGGCTTTGTGGTGATAACCTGTTTGGTTGCGGCCACAGGCGGTCTCATCTTCGGTTATGACATTGGTATTTCAGGTTTGTATCTGTCCCTTTCCATCTTCTCTTTTTGTTCTGTTCTTATAGCTTGCTCTGCATTTAATCATCCATTTAGTAATGTTACAGAGATTGAAAAAGTTATAAAAATTATGTATATGGATCACATAATTTTAAATGTGATTCATATAACATTAAGTTTTGTAGCATATAATTTTCTAACTTTTTGAACTATTCTTTTAGACGAATTAAATTTTTTCTTGTTTTTTAAGTTAAAGAAAAGGAAATAGTTAATTTTACAAAAAAATCATACAAAATCTTTCACTTAAAAGATGAAGAGGGGGCATTTTCGTAATTAACAGTTATCTTGTTGGTTCTCTGTTCTGAAGTAATAGATAGGCCTAAATTGCGACTACTTGATTTTTTATAAATTTTTAGTTTTAGTTTTTTTTCTTTTTTTGGGTATAAAAACATAACTTAAACTTGCATCAAATTAAGCATCTTAAAAACAAAACTTGCATCAAATTAAAATTTCTATAAAAATCATGCAAAAACTCATTCTCTTCTTCACTCACTCTTATATAAAATTAAATTTTATTCAAATCAAGGGAGACAGACAACAAATGTTTACTCAACTTTGCCATTGCTAAAGATTTTACTCAAATTTATGCTCAAATCTGAATTTGTCTATTAAAGTTTTTCGTATCAAATAAAATTTTTACTCAAATTTGAGTAAAAGCTATAATTGACCTAACATTACTCTAAGAAAATGGTCTTTAATGATGATGATAAAAAAATACTATTCTTATAGAAAATTTATACAGCAAACACCACACAAGAATGATATAATAACAGCATCACTTCTATAAATAAAACTCATCTCCATAAACATTTTAATTCAAATTAAAAGGTCACATTAAACAATTTTATATTTGATGCAGGAGGAGTAACATCCATGGATCAGTTCTTGCAGAAGTTTTTTCCAGATGTATATGAGAAGGAGAAGAACGCAATTGCTGGGAATCAGTACTGCAAATTCAACAGCCATTTGTTGACACTGTTCACATCGTCGCTTTATCTAGCGGCGTTGATCGCTTCCTTCTTTGCTGCTGCAACAACGAGGGCGTTCGGAAGGAAAATCTCTATGGTTGTTGGAGGTACCATTTTCCTAATTGGCGCCATCCTAAATGGCGCTGCTCAAAACGTCCTAATGCTTATCATTGGTCGTTTGTTGCTTGGTGTTGGCATTGGATATGCTAATCAGGTAAAACATACCCCCCCAAAAAAATTTTTCCAATAGTTCTACTTGCACATAAACTAATTACATAATCGAATACAACTGATTCTGTAATCAATATCATGTATAAGAATTTCTTTTATGTTATTTCACAAAAAGACATTAGCAAGGAGTTATAAAACTATGCTTTATTTTAAAGGAGCCAAAGTAGTTTTGAACTTAATTTTTAAAAATATTGTGATTGATCTACTATAAAACTATATTGTATTTTTAAAATACGACTTTAATAATTACCTATATATGTAAAATGGAACACTACATATATCTCGAGATGAAACTTTGAATAACCTCGTGAGAGAAAAAAATAAAAGTAAATAAATAAATTTTAACAAGAAAGAAACATTACAACTACGAAGCGCCTTTCTCCCTTTGATTACTAAGGGAGCTATCGTACAAAATTTTCATATAAAATACTGTCACCTTTTTTGTGGTTCTTTCATTTCTAATAAAAAATGTGATCATTATTTTCGTAATTTCAAAATTTTTTATTCACATCATTTTAGATATGTTTTACAATTCAAAATGATTTTATCAGTTTAAAAGCAAAACACTTATTTAGAAAACTATTTTTTATTTTTTTTAAATGTCACCTCCACATGATTCCTGTAAACATTTTGAAAAAAAAATTCCGTAAACATATCATCATTTTCTTTAACGCAGTCTGTACCGGTTTACCTGGCCGAAATGGCACCGGCCAAGATCAGAGGAGCCCTCAACATCGGCTTCCAAATGGCGACAACGATCGGAATTTCCGCCGCAAACCTAGTTAACTATGGCACCGGCCAAATGAAGGGCGATTACGGGTGGCGAATCTCCCTTGGTCTCGCTGCTGTCCCCGCCATTATTATGACAGTTGGTGCCATCTTCCTACCCGACACCCCCAACTCCCTGATCGAGCGCGGCCAGACCCACCAGGCCCGTGAAATGTTACAAAAAATCCGAGGAGTCGATGACGTCAATGCCGAGTTCCAAGACCTCATCGATGCGAGCGAGGCCTCAAGGCAAATAGAGCATCCGTGGCGGAACATTATGGAGCTCAAATACAGGCCTCACCTTGTCATCGTCTGTTTCATTCCCTTCTTTCAACAGCTCACCGGCATTAATGTCATCATGTTCTATGCACCTGTGCTTTTCAAGACTCTAGGGTTTGGAGACAATGCTTCATTGATGAGTGCTGTGATTACTGGCCTTGTTAATGTGGTTGCTACTTTGGTCTCAGTGTTCACTGTTGATAAGTTTGGGAGACGGTTTTTGTTCTTGCAAGGTGGCATTCAAATGATCATTTGCCAGGTAACTCTATCTAGTTTTGTTTTCATAATCTGTTTTCTGAAAACAGGAATGCTAGGACCTAGAGAAAACATTGTGTGATTAAGATTCATTTCATGTGTGAATCAAACTCTACAAGAGTTCAATCTGAACCACACATCATTTTTTTAGGCTAAAACTCTTGGTAACTTTTTTGGGTTACTAGCTTTTCAGTTATGAAAATTACTAAAAACTAATTTAGTGAAAAAAATAACAAAAATTTCAAAAAACACTCGCCTGCTCTCTACTTTTCTAGATGTCTTGGTAAGCAAACTATACAAGATGTCTTGGTAAGCAAGCAAGATGTCTTGGTAAGCAAGCAAGCAAGTGTGAACCAAACTATACAAGATGTCTTGGTAAGCAAGCAAGCAAGTGCCAATAATTGTTATATTATTATATACTACAAAAAAAATTATCCAAAATATTACTTAGAAATGAAATCTAGACAAAATTCATTCTAACTATGAACCATAACATACTAATTTTAAATCTACACACTACACCTTACTTTCTTGGTAAAAGTCCAAACAAAAAAACTTTCCAGAATTTTACCCAGAATTAAAATACGTGGACAAAATTCATTTCAGTTCTACTATGAAAATAGAACCAGACACATAATGCACATTAACAGACAAGATTTCACAAGGTTACAGCACACTAACTTAGTGAAATTTCACTATATAGATTGCAGTGGGATGCATTGTTGGGTCCGTGTTTGGAGTAAAGGGAGAAGGAACCTTCTCCAAAGGCATGGGTGACATCGCATTGACATTTATTTGCTTATACGTAGCTGCCTTCGCATGGTCTTGGGGTCCATTGGGTTGGTTGGTGCCCAGTGAAATCTTCCCGTTGGAGATCCGATCTGCAGGACAATCGATCAATGTCTCCGTCAACATGTTCTTCACTTTCATCATTGGCCAAGCCTTTCTCTCCATGCTCTGCCAAATGAAATTTGGACTCTTCTTCTTCTTCGCTGGATTCGTGCTCATAATGACACTTTTTGTCTACTTTTTGTTGCCAGAGACAAAGAATGTGCCAATCGAAGAGATGAATAGAGTGTGGAAGGCACATTGGTTCTGGGGGAAGTACATCCCGGACGATGCCGTTGGTGTTCATGCGTCCACCAGCTACATCAAAAGTGTATGACTCTCATTCTGAGTCTTAAGTATATATATATGCTAGCAGGTGGATGCAAATAAAATGCATTTGCAATTTAACGTCTAAATTTTTGGATGGTTTGATAGATGATGAAGATGGGTTGGATTTGAAAATCGTTGGGCAGTTATTTATTGGATGTGGAGTTTTGAATAAACAAAATTATTGTTTTGATTTTTTTTACTTTGATCGGCAAAGAGAAATTTTATTGATGAAATCAAATAAAAGTACAACGTACGACAATTATCATGAAGAGCACTGCAGAAAAAGGACTTGGCTGGCTGTAGATGTAATTTGCAGGCATTGTCTAACGTTCTGTTATAAAAGAGAATAGAGGTAGAAGGACAATGTATGCAATAAATTTGTGATGATTTAAATATGGCCTTTTGTTCAGGTAGATACATAGTTTTGGGACTTTGTTCATTAATGAAAATTCAACTTTATGTGTGCATATTCTCTGGTGTGATAGTTCTCTCTGTTGTTTATTTATTTATTTATTTTTCCCTCCTTTCTAAGATCAATAAAAACTAAAATGTTTACACCCAATCTATCTACTTATAGAACTCCTGGAAAGAGAATTTGCCCAAAAAAGCCCAGAAACTGACATAAAACAGAGTGAACCAATGTCCTTTCCATTAAAGGAAATCACATCAGAAAAGTTTTTTTTTTTTGGATATCCGGGTGTCCGGGTCAACTTGCGCTATCCTCGACTAATCCTAGGGCCTTGACATTAACAACCAGGCAAACTTCCATAGCCCCTTGGGGTGACTCAAACTCAAGACCTTGGTTCTGTAACCCAAAGGCATCCAATGTGATTTCAAAGAGAGCACATTTGCACTATGTTTGATTTTCAACTAATTATTGTTAAAAGTTTGGTAGCTGGTTTTAAATCAATCCGGGTCAACTTGCGCTATCCTCGACTAATCCTAGGGCCTTGACGTTAACAACCAGGGAAACTTCCATAGCTCCTTGGGGCGACTCAAACTCAAGACCTTGGTATTTCTGTAACCCAAAGGCATCCAATGTGATTTCAAAGAGAGCACATTTGCACTATGTTTGATTTTCAACTAATTATTGTTAAGTTTGGTAGCTGGTTTTAAATCAAGGAAAACTACCACCAATTTTTCTTTTCCACTTTCAAAAAGATCTACCATCAACCAATTGCAGGGTAAGGAACACTATATAATATAGAGGGATTTACGTACTGATTAAGGATAAATAGAACTATCAAACGAAAACCGTACGAGCTTTTGAAGGGCAACTTTTGGAAAAAATTTCCTCAAGGAGTGGCAGCCAAGCAAGCCAACCAGTTGGATTGGTGATGCAATCCACTCAAGGAAAAGCAAATTCAAACATGCAAGGAATTATGGAATTTGACTCGCATTCAAGACTTAACCCACATGGGAACTTGCATAATCTGATTTTGAGTCATTTTTAGTCTTGTTCAAAATGGAAGTGTAATCCTCGAGACCTCTAGCATTTTGCATATTTAATTTTAGGGTGCGATTTCCAGTGATCTCTCCGGGGAGATCTTGAATCTCCTGATCTCACAAGCCCGATCTTCGCGTCTCTTGCAGGGGGAGGGGGATGTTGCTGAGGTAAGATCTATTAACCGGTTGTGCTTTAAGCCACTTTCCCAGTCTTTGTGTCCGGTGGTAACCTGATCTTCCCCTCCCCTTTCCCAGTCTTTTTTTGCAATCCCTTTTCTCACAAACCCGATCCCGATCCCAACAAATCTAGACTTTATCAGCTTTTTGTGGACTTCTCTCTTAGGGATTTTTGGGTTATTTTCTGTATTTAGGGCTTTTCTTTTGTTGTTCTTTTGTTTAGTTGCTAGAGGTCTTGGTTTCTTTGGTCTTTTTGTGCTTGATCTTGGTTCTGCATTGTCTGTCTTTTGCTGTTGTGGTGTGGTTTTGTGGTTTCCGTGCTTCTACTCTGCTTTTCCTGATTTGTACTTGGTGACTTTGGAGTGTTACTAATGTTGAAAAAGGACTTCCTTCTCAACTCTAAGTCGGATATTAGGCGATTCTCTAAGGAAGAGAAAGGTAAAGATATTGCAATGGACACAAACTTAAATCAAAACAATATGAGACGTCCATCGCCACACGACTTGTTTTCTGGTTTGGACCCTCTTGAAATCGCTTTAATCAAAGATACCTTTTGTGATGATTTCTTCTTTGATTGGGAAACTATTGCAAAAACTCTTGGGAAAGGAGATTTAGCTATTATGGATGAAAACCCAGTCACGAACAACAATCCACCAGAGCAGTGCCAGACAATGCCATGGGGTCCAAGTAGTGATTTGAACAGTAGTGTTGTTTCTGATCCATCTTCCAGTTTCCAATCCGTTTTTTCGGTTAATGGTGACAAAGGAGTTGATTCTGGTAAGGAGGCTCCATCTTGGAGCAATGATTTATCTGAAGCCAATGGTGGCGAATTAGGAGAGGGTGTCACAAGCGGAGCTACTCACAAAAAGTCTCAAGCGAAAGAGAAAAGTGATCTTGGGTAGCAATGTCCTGTTAATTGATCGTATCCTGCGTCACAACCTCACAGCCATTGGTTCATTTAAGTTCTTACACCAAAAAAGTTTGTCGGTTGTCGAGGTTCAAAGACGAGGCTTCCTCGACAGATATTGAAGTTGACAAGTCAGATATTCAGCCTGAAGCACCCCTCCATGACCCCTTTGAACCAATAGCACATGCTAAGGAAATTCCCAAGCCGGAACACCACCTCCCAGTCGTGAGTGATCTTGATAACCCACTGTTAGAAGCAAGATGTGAATTTTCGTATGGGGTATTCTAAGTGAATCCGAGCCCCAAGATATTGCAATGTGGGTCCAGACGATATGGAAGCTATTGGCGAATTTCCTCAACCCCATGACCATGATCAAGGCAAGCGTAAGAGAGAGTCACGAATTGAAGATAATATCAGCAATCCAAGCCTGTTTCGGCCACGTCGGTGTAGAGCTCTTTGATCCAGATGTTTCGGTCTTGATAGCATCCTGTTCTATCTTTTTGAATGTGTTTTTTTTATCTTTTTTGCAGGGTTTTGCTGCAGTGGCTGGTGGTTTTGAATGTGGCTGCTTGATGCGTTTATCTTGTTTGCTATGGCTTTTTGGTTGCTTGTGGTTCCTTTCATATGTTGGATGTGAACTTGCTGTATTGAACTTTGTTCTATCTACATATTTGTCTTTTAATTTTCCTCAAAAACAAAAATGCCTTGTTCATGTTTTATTTGAAGTTTTTGTTTTTTTTCAGTTCAGTTTTATAAAGATTTTAAATTTTCTATGAAGGGGAAGAGATATTTGGGTAATTTATAGAATTTATAGACATGAGATATATAGGTCACTCATAGGTCGTCTCGAGCCTAGTTATTTATTTCTTTTTAGGGATATTTACCAATAAATCTTATTTGACAAACAGTTTTACCGATTGGTTTTAATGTTATTTCTATTGTTCTGATTAGTCCTATTAGTGAGAGAATATCTTACCAGTTGATCTTATTTCCTTTGTTTGGTAACATTGAGCGGTCAAATTACCCTTCCTTGTGTGTGTCACATGACATACATCATTCCAAGGCAAAAAGAATAAAGAGCCTTAATACACTTTGTTGATGTGTGGCACCCACCGATCACCCTCATAAAGAGCCTTAGTGTACTTTGTTGATGTATGGCACCCACCGATCACCCTCATAAAAGCATAAAGAGCTTTAGTATACTTTGTTGATGTGTGACACCCACCAATCACCCTCATAAAGAGCCTTAGTGTACTTTGTTGATGTGTGACACTCACCGATCACTCTCATAAAAGCATAAAGAGTCTTATTGTACTTTGTTGATGTGTGGCACCCACCGATTACCCTCAATGTGATACGTGCCACATCACCTATTCAAGCGTTCAGAAAAATATGTAGTGGTATTTACGTCATTCAGCAATAGAAAGGACCAAATAGATCAAAAGAAAAAAAGTTGGGACTAAATGAAGCACAATTTCAACATTTATGATTTATTGGTAACTTTCCCTTGTTTTTATTTATGAATCTTATTTGTTTTGAAATAGGATCTAGAATGTTTGGTTCCAATTTTTTGAAAATTGAATTTTTTTTTTCGTATTTTTTTTTTTTAATGATTTTTTTTACTATTTTAAACATATTTTTTACTTTTTAAATAAGTACAAATGCAATTAAAAAGTGTAATATTTGTAAATTTTTTTTAAAAAAAAATTCACTAATAAATACCAAAAATACAAAAAAAAAATGAAAATTCAATAAATTTTCATATTATTGTGTATTTATTGATTTTTTAAAATATTTTTTTTTTCTACAAATATTTTACTTTTTAAGTACATTTAGATTAGGTGCATCTAAGAAGTAAAAAATTTGCTTAAAATATTAAAAACAAATTCACTAAAAACAAAAAAATACAAAAAATAAATATTCAATTTTCAAAAAATTGAATTCTGAAAATTGGAATCAAATAAGGTTCCTCCTCTTTTAGAATCCTAGTCCTCTCCAGAAAATAGTATTAAAAGTCCATATAAAATCATGTGATGTTTCTAATTTAATAAAGTTGATATTTTAAAATTTTTTTACAAATTAAAACTTTCTTTAATGAATTGTGTGATGCAATCAAATACTATCATGCCTAAGACCCTACTACGAGTGATTTCTAGAACTATTTTTTCTCCCTTCTTCCTTGAATTTCTTTTTCTCCTTCTTTCTTCCTTGAATTTCTGCACTTAAAATCAGAACGACACTTTTCATGAATAGTATTCACAATACCCAGAACAACCCCATCCTTCCTACAACGTCAAACCTAACCCTAACCAAAGGTTTGGTTCACTATAATGAATGAGAATGGAATAGAAATGATCATTCATTACTCTCATATAAAATAACCATTCCCTTGAAATGGTAAATAATGATTCTATTTGTAATTCATTTTGTCACTAATTTATTAGTCAACCAAACAGTGGAATGAACATTTTGATGAAATCATCATTCCATTCCATTCCGTTCTAGTGGATCAAATACTATCTAATTC